TCTAAGCATACATACATTCATCGTTATATAAAAATATTTATTCTTATTGAAATATTATTATTTCAATTTTGTTATGTAAATAAAATTTTCAATTCCTTTTTTTTTTATTTAAATTTGAAATTTATTTATTCATTGAAATGATTCATTTGAATAATATGAAATAAAAATTTAGTGAGCGAAGAATTCTTCATTCAATGATTGCATTTTGTTTTTGTTTTCAACTAAATTATTTTAATAATTAAATAGTAGATGAACAATTGTAAACATTTTTTTTTTAAAGTTGTCTTATTTATTAAAATTTGAACTGTTATTTACACTTATTAACTGAAATTTAATTAACTTAGGAAAGCAAAAAAAAATTAATAATATTAAAAGTGTCTCCCGATGAAGTAAACTATTACAAATGTAATTTTTTTTTTTAAAAAATGATACAAAAATTGGTTAATTTGAAGAGAAAAATTACTAATTAATAATGCAAAATTATTAGTTAGTATGATTGAGAAATATACTAGCAAATGTATATTAATTAAAATTTTAATCTTATCCTTATGTTATCATTGATATTTTGATGCTAAAAGTTTTAATTAACAAAGCAAAAAAAAAATTTTTTTTTTTATCAATTCTTTTCAAATAATTGAGTGAATTTTACAGATCTGTGATCTACTGAAATGAGATGAGATGACAAAAATTATGATAGGGTTAGGTTTTTTCTTTTTTTTTTTTTGATTACTCAAAATCTTTTTTTTTTTAATATTCAAAATCTTCCTTCTTTTTTTTTTTGCAAAACTCTAAAATTAAAAATTATTAAACAAATGGAATTTGAATAATTAAAACAAAAAAAAAAGATTCAAATGAACTATATATTCATAATAATCATATTCTGTAATTTTTTTTCTTACTTTTTCAATATTTCTGCACATACACAATGGCGCATTTGAATTTCTGTGGCGCAAAAAGTAATGATTGTATTATTTTCATTTATTTAAACAACAACAACCATATTGTTCTAATTAAATTGTAAAATAATGAAATGAGATGACATTTATTCAACTAGTAACACTGTAATTAATTAGACAGATAGTAGTCCACTTTTTTTTTTTCATTATTTTTTCTCGAAGGATAATATCGCATTTTGCATTTTATTTAATTGATGAGACTTTAAAAAAAAAATATACATGGGCATTTTTTTTTCCATTCTAATTTTAAGATATTTCAAACAACGAAAAGGAAAAGAAAAAGAAAAGAAAGAAAAATGGGAATAGCTTAAATGGAAAAAAAAATCAATACTAAACAATTTAAATCTTAGGAATCTTCCAATTTAAAAAAAAAAGAAAAAGAAAAACGAAACTTTTATTTTTTTTTATAATCAAAAATGCTAAATTTTGATATATTCACTTACCATGAATGTTGAATATCTATTTTTTTTGACTTACAAAATTAATTCAAAAAGTTGATAAAAATTTATTTGCTTAATCAAAAAATAACTAACAAATTTCATTGATATTTGTAAATGATAAATTGATTATGTTGGAAAAAAATTTTCATTTGAATCCTTTTTTTTTTTTTTTTGTTTTAATTATTCAAATTCCATTTGTTTAATAATTTTTAATTTTAGAGTTTTGCAATACAAAAAAAAGGAGGAAAATTTTGAATATTAAAAAAAAAAAAGATTTTGAGTAATCAAAAAAAAAAAAAGAAAAAACCTAACCCTATCATAATTTTTGTCATCTCATCTCATTTCAGTAGATCACAGATCTGTAAAATTCACTCAATTATTTGAAAAGAATTGATAAAAAAAAATTTTTTTTTTTGCTTTGTTAATTAAAACTTTTAGCATCAAAATATCAATGATAACATAAGGATAAGATTAAAATTTTAATTAATATACATTTGCTAGTATATTTCTCAATCATACTAACTAATAATTTTGCATTATTAATTAGTAATTTTCCTCTTCAAATTAACCAATTTTTGTATCATTTTTTTAAAAAAAAATTACATTTGTAATAATTTACTTCATCAGGAGACACTTTTAATATTATTAATTTTTTTTTCCTTTCCTTAAGTTAATTAAATTTCAGTTAATAAGTGTAAATAACAGTTCAAATTTTAATAAATAAGACAACTTTAAAAAAAAAATGTTTACAATTGTTCATCTACTATTTAATTATTAAAATAATTTAGTTGAAAACAAAAACAAAATGCAATCATTGAATGAAGAATTCTTCGCTCACTAAATTTTTATTTCATATTATTCAAATGAATCATTTCAATGAATAAATAAATTTCAAATTTAAATAAAAAAAAAAAGGAATTGAAAATTTTATTTACATAACAAAATTGAAATAATAATATTTCAATAAGAATAAATATTTTTATATAACGATGAATGTATGTATGCTTAGAAATGAAAATTGATTTTTTCTTAAAAAAAAAAAAAAAAAAAAAAACATAGATGGAATTTGGATGGACTGACTGCACTGAATTTAAATATAATCCAAAAAAAAATGTTTTTTTTTCGTCTTTAGGACACACACACAAATGCGCAAACATACACATAACACACACACAAATATGCACACACATGCACATACACATAAACATCACATACACATATACACATGCACACATACACAACACACACATACATACACACACACACACACATGCACATACACCATGCATACACACATATACATACACATACACACACCTCATGACTTTGAAAATGATATCTTGATGTTAGATATTGCAGCTTCTTGCTGATGTTATTGCTAGCAGTGCAATAAATAATGAAATGATTTCTCTTTGGAATAAGTAACAATTTCGTCTTTTTTTTTTTTTTCAATTCATTTCAATTTTTGCATTTTAAATTTATTTTGCAAAATTTTAATTCATATAATAGATGCAATTAATTAATAAAATATAACTTATGAATAATTCTGATTTAGATGGGTATTTTATGAAGTGATTTATCTCAAAAATGTATTTTATTCTCTATGAATTATATTTAATCATTTATGACATAAGTTTAAAATTCTTTTTTTTTTCTTTTTTTTAGAGAAGAAACTTAAAGAATAAAAAAAAATAAATAAATAAAATATAAATAGACGAAGAAGATTAGATTGTTTGTGAAATAATTGAATGATAGGAAATGCTTTTATTTTACAAAATAATTTAAAAAAAAAAAACAAAAAAAAAGCTAATTTTTCATTATTGTTAATTTCTTTTATATTCTTTTTTTTTTCTTAAAAAAAAAGAAAGCAATTATTGTATTTAATTATCTACGCTCATAAAATTTTAATATCAAGCATTTAATTGAAAATTTTCAATAAAAAGTCTTTTTTTTTTTAAAAAAAAAACGAAAAGAAAAACAAATTTAGAAATATATTTGAAAAAAAAATATTAGTTGCTTATGGGATTGTTAAATATCATTAGTTTATTTACTTAACTGATTGCTGTTATTCACAACATTGTCTAATATATCACATCCTCTCTTATTCCATCATTTCCTGATTTTTTTATTTTTATTTTTTACTTTTTATTTCAGTTATTTATTATCATTTTTTTTTTAAAATAACTTTTTTATTGAGATTTCAAAGCTAAATTCTTATATGAATTATGTGAATTTAAAGAGTTTTTTTTTTTAATTGTAGTATATTGAAAATAATTGAAAGATAATAATTATCATTTCAACCTTTATTTTATACAAATTTGATATAACTTTTTGAACAATTTCATCATTGATGAAATTGAAATATTTATTGGACTAAAAAAAAAAAATTTTGCAAATGCTAACTTGTTAAGGAAGAAAATAGAAAGACAAATTATTGCCTTCACATTTTCATCTTTTTTTTTTTATCACTCTTGAGAATATCAACTGATAGATCGTATTTAAAATGCGCTTTTCTTTCAAATGATAGCTATTTTATTCTTTTATATTCTCTTATTTTGTCTACTACAAATTAATGTATCTACTTTTTTTTTTCTTTTTTTTTTGAGAAATATAATATAGGTACTTAATTTGAAACAAACAAAATGTTCAATAACCGAAATGACATATAATTGTTGAAGCTATAAAGCATTCATTTGAGAATTTTAAATTCAATTTCACTTTTATCTATTACTTTTCCTAAATATTTATGTAATTTATTATTGTCACTATTCAGTCTAATAAATTTCACTTCGTTTTTTTTTTTTTTTTTTTTTTTATCAATAATATCTGCGATTATTTCTAATTATCATATCCTTTTAACAATAATATTGAAAAGCGAATGGTAACAATGAATTTATAATTCAGCTCTAAATAAAGATTAACCTCCTCTCTCTCTCTCTCTCTCTCTCTCTCTCCCTCTCTCCTTCCTTTGTATAAATTAAAAATTGCAGATTAATTATCATACATTTTGAGTTATATTAAAGCAACATCATTTCTTTACTTTATCAGTTTCCCATAGAAAAAAGAATTATTATTGTTCAGTATTCATTAATAATATCGAAAGTGCTTTCTAATAGATTTAATATTTTCCAAAATTTTTTTTATCAAAAATTGCTATCTGAATATTACTATCATCCTCCAATTTTCTCCTTCCCAGAAAAAGAAGAAAAAGTTATTCAAATAGCTGTATTTCATGTTCAACAAGATTTTTGCTTTAATCTTAATCAAATATAATTTCAGCTTCCTCTTCATAATTTCTCATAATATGCTAATAGCTTCCGAATAAATCAAATTTATTTTAGTAAACAATGTTATCATTTCATCCATTTATCATCTATTATCAGTTATCATATTCATTTCATTACATTATTTATACATTTATTTATTTATTTAAATAATTTCAACATTGTTATATGAAATTTTTATTTTTTTAAAATTTCAGGAATATTTCTATATCGACAAATCGTCACAATTTCATCTTCTTTCCACTGTTTCATTACTTTATTTTACTATCACATTTGGAAGTAATTTTGGAGCAATTCAATATTTTTAATCTTCAACAAATATGTCCACATTGAATGCTTATCGATTGTAAGTTTTAAATAAATTATAGATTGAAAGAAGAAAAATGAAGGGCAATTAAAAATTTTTAAAAATTTCAGATATCAGAATTTCAGATAAAAAAATTCCGAAAATTAAAAAAATAATTTATACAAAATTACATTTGTAAATTTACACTGAGATCTCTTTATTGCATGTTGCATTGTTAATGTATGCCACATAACTCTGAGATATTACAGTTTATGATGACATTTTGATGGCATTTAAATTCAGTTCCAGTTGAATGTTGGTGTAAAATATGTATCTAAATTTTAATATTGTAAATTTCTACTTTGAAATGTTAACATTTTTATACTTAACACTTCTTGTTAGATATTCGGTTTGAATGAAAATGTAGAAAGAAGAAAAAAAATTGAAAAACATGAAAGTATATTCTTTAATAATAAATAAATGATATATATACACATTTTTTTTTTTTTTTTTTGAAATTGGTATTTTGATTTTTTTTTCTCTCCATTACTACTTTTATTTATTAAACTTATTCAAGGATGAAATAATTTGAGAAGTTTAAGTTCAAATGAATGGACAGATGCTGTTTTCTATTGTAAAATGTGTCCTTGACACTATGCATTTTATTTTACATTATGCATTCCCTTTAATTTCCACATTCTGTTTTTTTTTTTTCAAAATTAACTTTCTATTGTCTATCGGTAGGCATTAGAGTTGTGGATAATGTTGGAATGAAGAGAATTCGTTGACATTTTGTGAGAATTAGATTCTGATGTCACTTCCATCTGTTCTAATTGTTTTTTTATGAGTGATTAGATTTGTTAAATTTATTCTTCAATTTTTATTTCTAGATAGTGTTTATCTTAGTTTGATTTGTCTTTGGAGCAAATGTATAATAAACAAACCCCCTTTCCTTCTTTCTATTATTGAATTCTCTAGGGAGAAAATTGTTGGGCAGGCATGAACAGTTTTGTCCTAGGCTTATTTGCTTTCACTAAATTGATTGCCTTAAACATTGGCATTCCAAACATTCATTGATTCACTTACATCCATCGTGCTTTTCCTTTTTCTCTCTCTCTCTCTCTTTTGACCACAAGTTTGGTTTATTGATTAAACCAGCAACATTTATATGCATCTTATATTTATATGTAACATTCTATATAATATATCTATCTCCCAGGCGCGACTTCTTCAGTTTTATTAATATTTTTCTTCCAATACTTTAAATATCAAAATTAATTTTAGTCACAAATCCAAATGGGGTTACTACAGAAATTTCGACAGATTTTAAGAGTTTTAATAAAATAAATACTAAAAATGTTTTAATTTTACTTAATTCTGTTTCAAATAAAATCTACCTGTGCTGGAAAAATGTAATTCATTTAAAAATAAACATTTATTGAACTTAATTGATTACTTTTATTTGCATTAAACTGATCTGCTGACATTCAATTTACTATTTTTGATATTTTATGCTATCTTTGGACTTTAAAAGTTAACTTTAAAGCAAACTTTCATTGCAGAAATTAATTAAAACTGCAATTATAATTGATTTCAAATATTTTTTAAATATTAAAATTAATTTTAGTCACAAATCCAGATTGGATTACTGCAGAAATCTCGACAGATTTTAAAAGGTTTAATAAAATAAATACTAAAAATGTTTTAATTTTACTTAATTCTGTTTCAAATAAAATCTACCAGTGCTGGAAAAATATATTTTATCTAAAAATAAACATTTATTGAACTTAATTGATTACTTTTATTTGCATTAAACTGATCTGCTGACATTCAATTTACTATTTTTGACATTTTATGCTATCTTTGTACTTTAAAAGTTAACTTTAAAGCAAACTTTCATTGCAGAAATTAATTAAATCTGCAATTATAATTGATTTCAAATGTTTTTTAAATATTAAAATTAATTTTGGTCACAAATCCAGATTGGATTACTGCAGAAATTTCGACAGATTTTAAAAGTTTTAATAAAATAAATACTAAAAATGTTTTAATTTTACTTAATTCTGTTTCAAATAAAATCTACCTGTGCTGGAAAAATGTAATTCATTTAAAAATAAACATTTATTGAACTTAATTGATTACTTTTATTTGCATTAAACTGATCTGCTGACATTCAATTTACTATTTTTGATATTTTATGCTATCTTTGGACTTTAAAAGTTAACTTTAAAGCAAACTTTCATTGCAGAAATTAATTAAAACTGCAATTATAATTGATTTCAAATATTTTTTAAATATTAAAATTAATTTTAGTCACAAATCCAGATTGGATTACTGCAGAAATCTCGACAGATTTTAAAAGGTTTAATAAAATAAATACTAAAAATGTTTTAATTTTACTTAATTCTGTTTCAAATAAAATCTACCAGTGCTGGAAAAATATATTTTATCTAAAAATAAACATTTATTGAACTTAATTGATTACTTTTATTTGCATTAAACTGATCTGCTGACATTCAATTTACTATTTTTGATATTTTATGCTATCTTTGGACTTTAAAAGTTAACTTTAAAGCAAACTTTCATTGCAGAAATTAATTAAATCTGCAATTATAATTGATTTCAAATGTTTTTTAAATATTAAAATTAATTTTGGTCACAAATCCAGATTGGATTACTGCAGAAATTTCGACAGATTTTAAAAGTTTTAATAAAATAAATACTAAAAATGTTTTAATTTTACTTAATTCTGTTTCAAATAAAATCTACCTGTGCTGGAAAAATATATTTTATCTAAAAATAAACATTTATTGAACTTAATTGATTACTTTTATTTGCATTAAACTTGATCTGCTGACATTTTAATTACTATTTTTGACATTTTATGCTAACTTTGGACTTTAAAAGTTAACTTTAAAGCAAACTTTCATTGCAGAAATTAATTAAATCTGCAATTATAATTGATTTCAAATATTTTTTAAATATTAAAATTAATTTTAGTCACAAATCCAGATTGGGTTACTGCAGAAATTTCGACAGATTTTAAAAGTTTTAATAAAATAAATACTAAAAACGTTTTAATTTTGTTTAATTCTGTTTCAAATAAAATCTACCTGTGCTGGAAAAATGTAATTCATTTAAAAATAAACATTTATTGAACTTAATTGATTCTTTGCATTAAACTTGATCTGCAGACATTTTAATTACTATTTTTGACATTCTATGCTAACTTTGGACTTTAAAAGTTAACTTTAAAGCAAACTTTCATTGCAGAAATTAATTAAATCTGCAATTATAATTGATTTCAAATACTGCTTATTATAATTGATTTCAAATACACTGCAATTATTATAATTGACTTCAAATACACTGCTTATAACCATAGACTGCGTGTAAAATAAGCTAAAAGCGTCAAAAAAGTTGTCGTCTTTTATTTTACCAATGTGCACGCACGCACAAAAACCAATATGAATGAATGTGCCACGTTTATTTTGATTACAGTAATGCTTATTGCAGAGATGAATGAGTGGGTGCAGTACATTTTCCTTCAGCCAAATGTTCATATGATTTTTTTTAGCTATAGGCGCTGCAACTGGCAATGCTGGAGTACCGATGGAATGCTGCTGCTGCCGCTGCTATATTATGGTAATTAGTTATCTCGTATCGATCGATGACTTTCCTCTGTACATTATGGGATGACTAATTTTGTCTACTTACACGATATACCCAAATGATTAATAAAGAATGTATGGGTGAAATCCAAAAATGATGTTAGAATAAACGAATTTGAGGCGTATTTTGCATGGGCATTTTGTACTGCCATCAGAGCTGCACAGTGATACGTACACACAATGCGCTAAGATTTTTGAGAATCCAAGGAGAGAAATGAAAGTCTGTGAGCTACTAGCAAATAAAATAAAAAAAAAAAAGAGCTAAAACTCCACAGATTTAATTAATACTCTTTTCTGCAATTGCTGGGATAATTGTTGGTTTCTGCGTTGTTATTCATCGAGTAAAATCCTTTTTTTGTATTTCGATTAAGGATTTGATAATAAAAAATTTCAAAATTTCATTGTTACATAGTGAAACAACAGGATTTCTCTTCTATTTTTTCTTAAGAGATTTTTCAATCTAAGTGATGTATAGTAGATGATTCTAATGAACAGTTTAGTTTTAGTTTATACAACTTTTTCGAATGTGAGGGAGGCTAAAACTATTCCTGAAGAATTATTAAAGAATAAAGAAATTAGCTATATATATATATATATATATATATATATATATATATATATATATATATATGTTTCTGAAGAAAGAAAAAATATATTTCCTAAAGTGAATTCTCTTTATCTATAAAAAGGTGAAATTAATAGTAGTTGTGAAGTAATAGCAATTATGAAAAGCAGAAGCGATCAAATTGATAAAATTATTGAAAAAGTTGAGCAATGCATTCTTATGATCAGCCAGCTATTGTAATAATACCTATAGAAGAAACAAATCATACTAATTGGTGAGTAATAGTATGTTGTTACACAAGTGAATGATGTTGGAGTAGGTGTAGCCAATAAAAGCATGCAATAAATACAAAAGAAAAAACGCCTTAATAATAAATTATGTAAGTAAGTTCACAAAATACATGCATGTTAATAAAACTAGCCAAGAAACGCATGCAAAAACAATGTTAATAAAAAAACATCAAATAATATAAAGTTACAAAAAGCACACAGTTAATAAAATTAACCGAAAAATGCATGCAAAAACAAAGTTAATAAAAAACGAGTGAAAACAACGAAAAAAATAAATGCATGCAATAAATACAAAAAAAAAAAAAGTGTAAACCTTAATAACAAATGGTGTAAGTTATTGTTAATAATACCTATAGAAGAAATAAATCATACTAAATGGTGTAAGCTATTGTAATAATACCTATAGAAGAAATAAATCATACTAATTGGTGAGTAATAGTATGTTGTTACAGAAATGAATAATGTTGGGGTGGGCGTAGCCAAGTGATAAGGCAGCGGTCTTCGGTGTCGCTGTGCTAGGGTTCGAATCCTTCTATCCAATCCGTATATTAACGGTGGTGGCGTAAAGTGATTCTCTAATGTCAACGTTATTTAATAATACATATATAAAATATATTAACATTTATAAGTAGAATGGAAAAGTTTGTATGGAAAGTAGTAAATTAATAACGCTGGTGCAATAAAAATCTTAAGAGGTCATGGTATTGTAAGGAAGCGTCCATCCAGGTGTGTACGTTGAGGGGGAGGGGGCGGGGGGAGAGAGAGGGGTTAGGGATACCTGGTGATGGGTCTGGCTTGCATATATGAGGTTGTTGATAATATAAGGTGTAGGTGAGTCTTTAGTGCTCGGGTATTATGGCAAAATTGAGGTTAGCATAGGTGAGTATCTGTGAGTGATAATGGTTGTAGCATTTGAGCTGATATTGTCATGAAGAAGGAATATCAGCAACATAGATAATAATAATGACCCTAGTGTACGAATCTGGTAGCAATATACCTATAAGGTTTCTGACGGATTTACGTGGTACATGGTGTTGGTATCTCCGTTGTAAATGCATTGTCAAGCTGGCTGGAATTAACTATTTGGCGCAATAAGAAAGAACGCTTTATGTGCTTTGAAGATGGTGAATAAATAAGAAGACAAACAAATGAGGGAATAGAGTAACATTTATACCGTCAACGGAGATTTTTATTAGCATTGATTTTCTCCACTCTTGATAATCGTATCAGAGAATTAGCTTTTTTAAATGCAAATAAACGATAGTAAACAATCTAAAGATAATTTTGGCACAACAAATTTCATGCGGTACCTAGACAAGAATAAAACATTTTAAAAGTTCTAACTTTAAAGCAAACTTTCATTGCAGAAATTAATTAAATCTGCAATTATAATTGATTTCAAATATTTTTTAAATATTAAAATTAATTTTAGTCACAAATCCAGATAGGATTACTTAAGAAATTTCGACAGATTTCAAATTTATAAAAAATTAAATATTGAAGACGTTTTAATTTTAATTAATTCTGTTTCAGTTAAAATCTGCCAATGCTGGAAATATACATTTTATCTAAAAATGAACATTTATTGAACTTAATTGATTACTTTTATTTGCATTAAACTTGATCTGCTGACATTTTATTTACTATTTTTGACATTTGATGTTAACTTTAAAGCAAACTTTCATTGCAGAAATTTATTAAACCTGCAATTATAATTGATTTCAAATATTTTTTAATTATTAAAATTAATTTCAGTGACAAATCCAGATTGGGTTACTACAGAAATTTCGACAGATATTAAAAGTTTTAATAAAATAAATACTAAAAATGTTTTAATTTTGTTTAATTCTGTTTCAAATAAAATTTACCTGTGCTGGAAAAATGCAATTCATTTAAAAATAAACATTTACTGAACTTAATTGATTCTTTTATTTGCATTATACTTGATCTGCTGACATTTTAATTACTATTTTTGACATTTTATGCTAAATTTTAAAAGTTAACTTTAAAGCAAACTTTCATTGCAGAAATTAATTAAATCTGCAATTATAATTGATTTCAAATATTTTTTAAATATTAAAATTAATTTTAGTCACAAATCCAGATAGGATTACTTAAGAAATTTCGACAGATTTTAAAATTTATAAAAAATTAAATATTGAAGACGTTTTAATTTTAATTAATTCTGTTTCAGTTAAAATCTGCCAATGCTGGAAATATACATTTTATCTAAAAATGAACATTTATTGAACTTAATTGATTACTTTTATTTGCATTAAACTTGATCTGCTGACATTTTATTTACTATTTTTGACATTTTATGTTAACTTTAAAGCAAACTTTCATTGCAGAAATTAATTAAATCTGCAATTATAATTGATTTCAAATATTTTTTAAACATTATAATTAATTTTAGTCACAATTCTAGATAGGGTTACTTAAGAAATTTCGACAGATTTTAAAAGTTTTAATAAAATGTTTTAAAAGTTTTAACATACTTTCATTGCAGAAATTATTTAAATCTGCAATTATAATTGATTTCAAAATTTTTTTTAAATATTAAAATTAATTTCAGTCACAAATCCAGATTGGTTACTACAGAAATTTCGACAGATTTTAAAAATTTTAATAAAATAAATACTAGAAATGTTTTAATTTTTAATAATTCTGTTTCAAATAAAATCTGCCAATGCCGGAAAAATATATTTTATCTAAAAATAAACATTTATTGAACTTAATTGATTACTTTTATTTGCATTAAAGTTGATCTGCTCACATTCTATTTACTATTTTTGACATTTTATGCTAAATTTTAAAAGTTAACTTTAAAGCAAACTTTCATTGCAGAAATTTATTAAACCTGCAATTATAATTGATTTCAAATATTTTTTAAATATTAAAATTATTTTTAGTCACAATTCTAGACAGGGTTACTTAAGAAATTTCGACAGATTTTAAAAGTTTTAATAAAATAAATACTAATTCTGTTTCAAATAAAACCGGGAAAATATATTTCATCTAAAAATAAACATTTATTGAACTTAATTGATTACTTTTATTTGCATTAAAGTTGATCCGCTGACATTCTATTTACTATTTTTGACATTTTATGCTAACTTTGGACTTTAAAAGTTAACTTTAAAGCAAACTTTCATTGCAGAAATTAATTAAATCTGCAATTATAATTGATTTCAAATATTTTTTAAACATTAAAATTATTTTTAGTCACAAATCCAGACAGGGTTACCTAAGAAATTTCGACAGATATTAAAAGTTATAATAAATTAAATGTTAAAAGCATTTTAATTCTTACTAATTTTATTTTAACTAAAAAGGGTGAAAAGTTATATCCTGTTTAGCTAGTAAATCAAAAAGTGTTTTTGTAAACAGCTCCTATAACTGCACTGTTTTTGGTCAATACAGTACCTGGTGGATGCCATAATGATAAAAAAAATTTTGACGACGATGAGAAATACAAGGTATAGAACATGAATGAATTGCTAAAAAAATCTTTTTAAATTGTGAAAAAATCAGAAGTGGTAATTTGTACGTAACCTTTATTTGTCTATTCATTCCTAAGAAAATCAATAAAAATCTGCATTAGTTAATAGAAATAATTGAGAGAAGAAAAAGAAAGTTTATGTAGAAGAACGATAATATACATAGTACAAAGATGTTAGGTCGAGATGTAGTAGAGACCAAAGAAATATTCGAAGATGGAACAGTCTCCATATATTAGATGAAAAAAAAAAAAAAAAAAATCTTCATGAGCGCGAAAGGATAAAGACTCTCGAGCGCGAAAGATTGCAGAGAAATACTATTATTATGAATGTTCATTTTCGTCACTACTTTCTTTTCTTTTTGTTGCGTCAGAATTATCAGGGAAAGTATGGGGTATTTAATGATTAGCATAAATAGAATTATGTGTAGGTAAATTAAAATATGTAAACCAGTGTTTTTTTATCATGTGTTCTTTTACCATAAGTAAATAATGGTTACGTATAAGTAAATAATAGTTACGTAATAGTTACGGTCTTTGTACTTAGTGAATATTTGATAAGTTTGCTAATTTTATAGAATTGCGGCTCCCATGGAGGATCAAGAAATCGAAGTGCTTTTCGAATACCTTAAAAGGGAGCCGGAGATGTACCGGATTTTGCAAAGGTTCGTGAGCAGGACTGTTCAGGTAATTTTCACTTTGTCTTCCTCTTTTTTGCTTTTATTTTTTTTTATAAATTGATACAGTATGAAGAAAGAGTTGCTGAACTTTGCACTGCCTCAAATTTAAAAAGTGACTGTAAAAAATAGCTTTTTCAGTTTGAACAGTTGCTCATAGGAAAGATGGCGGAGGCGGGGTGGAGGTTGGAGGAACTGGTAGGGCAGAGTGCCCAGCCAGCAATGGAAGAGGACCCGGTACCTCAGGAGCCGGAATTTAACGAAGAAGAGGCAGAGTGGGCTCCTCTGCCTGAAAATGAAAATGGTGATGAGGCCGAGAACTGGCCATCAGAAGCAGAGTGGACCCCTCTGCCAGAAGAAGAGGAAGAAGAAGAAGAGCCTGAGGTACCGGGGGTACCAATGGAGATCGAGGAACCGGTAGGAGCAGTACGCGAACTCGTCCTGTAAGTTTAAGTTTTAGCAGCTATTGTACTAATTTGCTAACTAGATATTAACCTTACCTACCCAATAATTTGCAATAAATATAAAACTGTTTCAGGCGAACGAGGACAATCAGAATCCCGGTTCCTGCCATGCAAGAAGCAATGGCTGCGGCACCTCCGGAGAAATTCGAACCAGCTGATTTAAAAAATCTTCCGGAGCAACTCCGAAGAGAGTTGATAGTGCCGCAAGCAGAGCCATACACGGTGGCACAAGGAGAAGGAAGCAAGAACATCGGTAAGTTATAATTTTAATAACTTAAGAAATGATTATATGCCGCAATTTGTAGAAGAAATACAATCATATTTTGACTTTGTATTGATAAAATCATATGATATCATCGAAAATTTCATCCCTTATAATGCACTAAAACGATTACAAAATTCTATATCGATACTCGAAGAACAGTTTGTGCAACAATATTTTCTTACTATTTCTATTTTCAGTGTGTGGCCTCTGCTGCAGGCAGTTTGAAACGTTGAAAGGGTGGCGCATTCACGCGTCGAGAACACACAAGCAAGATGGTAAGTATTGCGAAATGAATTTCCAATTAGTTTTTAAAGATATCGCTACATTTGATTCATTTAAAAGCCAGTGGACTGATTAATTTGCATATTCCAGGCTTTTGTGCCCGTTGTGGGCATTACCTCTTGCTGCCACCTGAATTTACGGCCGCCCAGAGAACGGCAGCAATGGAGCTTCATGCCCTCGATTGGTGCCCGAGGGCATGCGCGGCCGTAATAAGCGAACGACAGGTGAAGCGGCGCAGACTTGACCTGGTAGGAAGAGAAGAGGATGCGCATCACCTCTTCATCCCAGGTAAGAAATTAATTAGCATTGAAGAAGTGAAATTTAAAAGTTAAAAAAAAAAAAAAATGAATGACCATAGAAAACAAAATATTAAAGTGGGTCTCGTAATTTTTCTAATCAGTGGTTTTTTTTAGGCTAATATTATTGCCTGGTCTTCCTCATGCGGCCACCTGTCGCTGCCTGCTGCGAATCTCCATCCTCTTCCAATGAAAGCTGGTTAGTAACATCCAAAAAATTAAAAAAAAAAAAAAAAAAAATGAAAAACTAAAAAATAAAAAAAAAAACTAAAAAATAAAAAAAAAAACTAAAAAATAAAAAAAAAAACAAAAAATAAAAAAAAAAACTAAAAAATAAAAAAAAAAAAACTAAAAAACAAAAAAATCAAAAAAACCAAAAAAAAAATCAAAAGAATAAAAAAAATTAAAAATAGAAAAAATGAAAAAAAAAAAAATTTGTTCTTTGATTTAACATAAGAACAACTGATTTCAAAATATAGAAAAGGCTGAGGAGTTTGTAGCTGTTTTACGTTTTTGTATGTCATTTACCGTCTTAGTGATAGAGTAATCAAAAGCTTGTAAAGGGCATTTTTTTGCCATCACAAACATAAACCAAATTACTTTGAAATCAGTTGTTTTTTCTTTTTTTTTTTTTTTTTTTTGTTTTTTAGCCTTTGGGCAGCTAATTTTGTTGAAAATTGTGTATTTTATTTATTTTCATCTAAATAATGTAATTTAATGTTCTTATTTTTTTGATATTACTTATAACTGTTTAATAACTGTTTTTTTTTTT